CCTCTCCTCAGGAGAAAGCTGAGCAGCAGGGGAGCCTTTCCTGTCCTTGTTCTCTTCTCAGAAGAAGCTGAGTGATGGAGGAGCCTTGAGGGGTGAGCGTTTGCCCCTCTTCCTCCTCTGCCACCCAGCCTTCTCAGGAGAAAGCAGGGAAAAGGAGGAGATTTACAGGGAAGTGTTCACCTATCCTCTTCCTCCACCATTGGGCCTTCTCCTCAGGAGAAAGCCAGGTGGCAGAGGAGCCTTGCAGGGTTAGTATTCACCCTTCCTCCTCCTCCTTTGCATGGCCCTCTCCTCAGGAGGAGGCCGAGTGGCAGAGGAGCTTTGAAGTTGTTCCACATCCTTGTGGGCCACCCAAAATCCTTTGGTGGGCCGCATGCAGCCCCAGGCCGTATGTTGTGCAGGCCTGCTGTAAAAAATATAAAGTAGCTGTAACTGTACATACTAAAGATTTCATAACATCTCATAGTGAGAGGCTCTGTTAACGTACTCTTCAAACATGGGAAGAGGAACAAATTCAGGCCAAATGCAAATTAACTGATGCAGGAAGAGAGAGGGTATGGATAAGACCAGCAGATAGAAAATGAGTATATGCTATACTTAAACTCTTAGAGAATCATGTGAATTTACAACTACTGAGTAGAGGCATGGTAAGGTTACTTCCTTTAACAGGAAGAATTGGTGAAAGCCACCTCTTCCACAGGAAGGAGCTTGTATCAAAGGAATTTCTCTCAGAAGATATCTACTATTATTATCAGCATGTCTAACAGGAAAAGTCTGCATAAAGAAATACTTTCTCACAAATCATCAAAGAATGTAACAATGAAATATAAACCACTTTAAATACTAAACAGTTCAAGTAACATTTTCAAATAAATCAATCCATAAATTTATCTTCTTAAAAATTAACTGTAGGGAATTCTTAGGTATTTCTTTCAGTATATCTCAAGCCTCAAATCTAAGAAAAGGTACAATAAAATAGTTTTTAAAGAATAATTTCTGGAAATAATTGAAATCAAATCCAAAGTAAATGCTGATTTTTAAAATCCTGTTCTCACTATTATGCCACTTGGTTGAGCAGAGTTACTGGACAGTCATGAGAAACATGTAAATATTTCATAATGCTTATCTGAAATAGCTGGACAAGAAAAGAATTTATGGACTTTGAATTTTCTCTTGAATGTTTAATTCTGTAATCCTAACTGTACAGACTGGAAGCAAGCCATACTGAATATGTTGGTACTTACTTGTGAGTAAACAATAACAGAACCAATCCATAGGTTAAATATCTCTAATTGTTTTAACAAATATTTCTCACTTTTAAACTAATTGACATCAATATGGTATTCAAGGTTTCCCTCTCCTTATTTAACCATTGCTCTAGCAATGACTTCAAATTAAATATTTTCCATATTCTGCTTATGATTGCCACAATCTAATTACTACAACTAAAAGCTTGCAATCCTGAACACCTTTACTTTTGAGTAAGTCCCACTAAAGTGAAGGAGACTTTCTTCTGAGGAGACAGTGTACAAGGATTGTGCTGTTAGATGTAGTGAACTCAATGAAACTGACTTTTGAGTAGATATGTACAGGACTGTGCTCTGTGTCTATGAAACTGAATGCGGGCCTTTTTTAAAAGGCACTTAGACATGGGTGGCTTAAATGAGTTGAACGGGGCTTAGGCATGCTGAATATATGTTACAAATTCAGACATTCAAGCATGAAAGTTCTTTCCTTAACTTGTTTTCAAGCTTCATCCTTTCTCTCTGCAATAAGTAAAGCAAAGCTACAGAATTTGCAACCATTTGCATCTGAGGAAGAGATGTTTTGCTTTGGTGATATAGTTAATGAGTCTAAAAATATTCAGTATAATAATTCTGTCAAAGCCCCCACAGTCTCCTCAATGAGCAGAAGCCTGCAGGATTCCAATGGGGAGCCAAGTAATGAGCTCTCAGCATTCGCTCCTACACCGTCCAGGCGAAATATACTTGGGCCTCTATGGTTCCACATCATTAGCAACATGAAACAAAGACACATGCTTGACTTTAATAAGTGACTAAAGTTGCTGGGTTATTAGGCTGTTACTGCACATAAACTCCATTTCAGTATGACAAACCAGTTCCTTTCAAACAAAGGAGGAGGGAGGTGGGGGATGAAAGAGAGCTTTTGCAAACAGTGTTTGGTATAATTTAATGTGTAAACAATTGAACAAGAGTAGAAAGACGACACAGGAAGTGATGGGTTTCTGACACAGAATCTCCTGGGGACCCTGTAGACTGCAGTGGTCTCGCTACAGGAGAGAACAGCTACGGCGGCGATCACATCATGGGCATATATGACTGAGTCTTAGTTGATATGCTTGC